ATTTGTAAATTTAGATTACTTTTTTCTGTACTATATTAAAAACTAAAATTTATTTGTTTGTAAGCTTAAAATAGATCCTTATTAACCATATATTATTAAAAATGCATTAATAAATAAAATACAGAACCGGATATGGTAATTTATGGTTTAGCCTAGTGACAAGTAGATTCGGAGACAAGTAAATTCGACTTACGTCGCCTCCTGGAACCAATTACTGACGTAAGGCGAGGTATACCTGTGTTTGAAATTTTCTGTTATCATATTTGAATTTTTCTAATTAATTTCATTTCATAATGCTAACTGTTACATAAGTTTTGACAACAGACTATTACAGCAGAAATTTTATCATTTTGTACTTTATATTTAATAAATTTATTTTTCTTACAGGATCATATATTAAATATATTAAAATCTAAATTTACTTCATATAAAGATTTTCATACATTATTATATACTTGTGCAGCCGAATTTGATTTTATGGATTTTGAGGTAAGTGTATAAAACCTTTACTTCTTAGTTGCTTGTATTATAATTGGATTCTTGAAATTTGTATTTTGGAATTAGATCAATGGATTAGAAATAATTATAAAATACTAATTCTGAAATCTTGGCCGGTTAGTTGCTAATTAATTAACTAACTGACCAAATGAAGTTAAAGTTAAGATGTGACTGCATTTTAAAGATTGCTTTTATTATAATATGGACAAAAAGTTTTCAATATTACAATTTACATGTACTATATTGTATCTTACAGCATATAAGATGCACCCTCATCTTAGCACAGAATATTTAGGAAAAAAGCACTTAGTGTACAAATGTAACCATCATATGAAACCTGATACATTACAATAAAGCTAGAGCAACTGCCACATATATATATATATAACCTGATATTATACGGCACTTGCTGTAGCTTTATAGTACTTAACGTATTTAGCCATCCCTTGCTGTTGGTACTAGGCCTCAAAAGTTTTTATACTATAATCTGATTAAAAGAGTAAATTAGAATTCACACTTTAATTTTTTTTAAGAAAAATACAGATGTTTAAAAGAAGTCATTTACAGTTAAGATTTACCATTAAAATATTCTGTTTGAATACATGCAAAAGTTGATGAGCTATAGGAAATAATAATAATAATATGCTTAATTAAATGTCGTATTAAATATTTTTATTGAAGAATTGAGTTTGATAGAATCTAACTTTTGAATAAAAATGTAGCCTATTGAAGACCATTTGGGAAATTCAGTAGGCTATGGAAGATTGTGATATCACATATAAGATGCAAAGTGATTAAGACTTTTTTAGATAAAAGTTGCATCTTATATGCCATAAAATATAGTAAGTACCAAGAGAATTCTAGTAATATATCCAAAATGTATATTGCGAAAACAGTGCAAAAGTAAGAACCTACATTTTTCAGTTTCTTGAGCAATTTTGTTTTTCTTCCTTGTCCTAGCTTTCCTATTAACTGGGTGTCGTCGTCGTTGCTTTCAGGCTTTAGCCTTTAAGACTATCACCGTGTTTTGTTTTTATAGATTAATCTTTATATTTAGAAAAATATATTTAAACCTTTTGTAGGTAAGTGTTATTAAGCTTTTTTTTAAAGATAGGTANATTGGGTTTGATAGAATCTAACTTTTGAATAAAAATGTAGCCTATTGAAGACCATTTGGGAAATTCGGTAGGCTATGGAAGATTGTGATATAAGATGCACATATAAGATAAAGATGCACATGTGATATAAGATCACATATAAGATGCAAGGTGATTAAGACTTTTTTAGATAAAAGTTGCATCTTATATGCCATAAAATATAGTAAGTACCAAGAGAATTCTAGTAATATATCCAAAATGTATATTGCGAAAACAGTGCAAAAGTAAGAACCTACATTTTTCAGTTTCTTGAGTAATTTTGTTTTTCTTCCTTGTCCTAGCTTTCCTATTAACTGGGTGTCGTCGTCGTTGCTTTCAGGCTTTAGCCTTTAAGACTATCACCGTGTTTTGTTTTTATAGATTAATCTTTATATTTAGAAAAATATATTTAAACCTTTTGTAGGTAAGTGTTATTAAGCTTTTTTTTAAAGATAGGTAAGTAATCATTTGTAAAAATGGCAAACAAGATATAGCAGTATCTTGGTACTCAAACAATTTGGTATTTGAACACAAATTCTGGAGAAAAATTTGCTCAGTACTTGAACAAATGAGGGCCCTAAAACAAATTTTTCATTCACAATTAATAACATATTTTTATTTTACCATCCATAAAAGTTTTTTATTATAAAAATAAGAAAAAAATGATATTTCTGACCAAGATCAACAAGCTCAGATGACAACAATACTTTATAAAGAGAAAACATCCTCATTTAACTAAAATTAATATTAGTGCATAATACAGTACTTTTAATTGTTTCTTTTAGTTAATTATTGAAATTAGCTTTAATAAACATATTTGTCTTGTTAACAAAAAAGAATAGTATACTTTTGTTAACTTTTGGAACCTAACCCTAGGTTTTTCACCAGTTCTTTGTTTCGTACAGCATGGATTCACATAACACGGCACTTTTTTGGAACATAATTACTGTGTTATATCAGGGATACCTGTACTTATTAGATGAAGTAATACAATAAACTTCTCTACCAGGTTTTTCTTTTGAGGAGATACCAATTACATCTGAAGAATTGATATTAATAATCTTTTATTCACAATTAAAAAAAATCTATTAAACAGTTGCAAGAATCAGTTTCTTGAGGTATTATGAAATAATAAATTATAAGGTTATTATGATTAGAAAAATTGTTTAAATGCCCTGTCAGAAGTGACAAATATTCAAAACTGTAAATTACAATCGTTGGGCAATTTTTTCAACTCAGATATTTTGATTCTTAATTAAAGTTCAGTTCTCCTCTTCAATAGACAAGAACCTTGCATACAATTGAGAACAGTATTGTTTGAGGGTTGATAAATGAGAAACTATACCACTCATGTTAGTCTTCAAATCTTACAAATATCCCTGTTAAATGGTACATAAAGTAGATTCCTAGCAACTAATAATCCTCTTTCCTTTGTCAATAGATATAAAAAGGATTCCAGTCTTTGCATCTTAGGAGTTGGCTCACTTGGAGATGGACAACATCTCAAAGTTACCACACTGTTCGAAGTAGAACAAAAATTCAACGACAGAGGTGTTCAGTGTTCCTTATATTTTAAAGTAAACCAGGAAGCAGTACACAGTATTATTAATCAAAGGGAAAAAAGAATAAACAACAATTAAAAAAAGAAGTAAAAGTGCAGACACAATTCTGCCAGCACTGAAGAAAATAAAACAGCACTCCAAAACTCTTTTATCAATGAAATAGCAATAGCAGCTTAATACTTAAAGAATTTTGGCATTAAAAAGCTTATGAAGAGGTTCTCTGGCTATTGGGAATCTTAAGGAAAATCTTAGATATAATTGTTGATTCCACATCTAATTGAAACAAAATTATTGCTTTCTGCACTATTCAGGAAAACTGCATTCATCATAAACTACAGTATTACCATTCATACCTTTAAAAATGAAGTATGATTTTTGATGTCTTTACCTTTAAAAATGCAAATTTTTAATGGTAAAGGCATTTAAGGCAGGTTAAATTTTTAAAGCATTAATATTTGAAATGCAACTTGTTCACACACAACTTGTTCAATTCAACTTGTTCACAGAGGACAGCTTTTGTTCTTATTTTTAAATTGTAATTAGTTTTTTTATCCCGAGGAAGGTTGTTTAAAACAACCAAAAACAGTAGGAAAATTAAAATCTTACTGCATTTTTAAAGGTATGAGTGGTAGTACTATAGTTTATTGCATTCTGTTTCTTAATTACCAAATTCATCAAAAAATGTATGGTTTGAAAAGATTGCGCTTGGTCAATATCAGCTGTGTCTTTTCTAAGGGAGACAGGATAGGATAAGTGTGTAGTAATTTTGTTACACATGTGAGTACTTAAGTTGAACCCTTTGTATCCTGTAACAAAAGTGTATCCTGGAGGATAATTAGGAAAATAGGGGCAGGCTAGAGGGATGATCTATGGATTTAAATCAGTTGCACACATTTTTATTTCTGATTTTTATACTTTGATGGAGAATGTTTTCCGGAGAGTTTGGATTTTTTTTCTGAAATAATGAGCACTTCCATAAAATAGGAAGCCTGTAAAAATCCAGATTTGCAAAATAGTATGCAATATGCATAGATTTATGGATGAACAACAAAAACATTTGTTGCTTCTTAGTAATGTTAAATCACTGATTAGACTAATGTTGAAATTTAGATATGTTTGGATTTTGTGTGCAATTTAATACTTTATGTAATCTTTGCCTTTATTAAAAATAGCCCTAGTCTTTGACTTACAAGTTTAAATAATAATCAAATTTTCTCTTAACTTTTTTATAATCATGTTTAAACACACTGCTAAATTATTAAACAATTACATGAATTAAACTGACTTTATGTTTCGTCACAAACTAGACAATCGTCAGAAAATCGTAACATATTGAACTATGGTTTTGACCTGCAACATCTCTCCTCTTTTCTCATTTTTATTTTTTAATGCATAATATAGTATTTAGGATAAATTATTCCTTTGTTCATTAAGCAACAGTTAATTCACCTCAAATAAAAGGTCATCTCTGTAAGTGAAGAATGTTTTTTGATTTGTCACTGGTAATTGTGAAACAATGATTTTATGAAGACAAAAATTTTTTGTATTCTTCAGTAATCTTCTTAGTATTTGAGAGAAAAAGAGATAGGTTTGAGGACTGTAGCCCAACTTGTCGGCTTGGTTTCCAAGTGCAGGTTACTGTATCGTAACTAATGACAAAATTAAACTAGGTCTGTTTAACCTGTCCTGTGTTGTTCCTGACATTTTTCGGGGTCTTGACCTCTGTCCTCGAATGTTTGACTTGTTACAGTATTGGTATGTTTTTGGAACTAGATGTTGCTAGTCATTATAATTTTTATATTAAAAATAACTTCCAAAATATAATTTTTTTGTTTTTATATATATTAATATATCTATTTTGTTTGTGAAAAATAAAACAATAATTTTGGATGATAAAATAGCCATGATTACTTTTTAAAACAATGCGTAATTTTCGTTAGACTTAACATTGACAAAATTCAACATGGCATCACAGGCAACGGAGAAGAATTTCAACATCGGATAGGTTAATACTAATCAGACTTGTTCTTTGAAGCATCAATGTAGCCCTGAAAATAAGGCTGATTTCAATGATAACATAGAGGTGTAGCGAAAACTGCTTGAAGAATTTTAAATTTGGATTTAATCCTGAATTGGAGTGGTATATTCATTTCATTCTGAACTGTTATCATCCAGGTTGGTGAGTTTCTTCCTTTCCTACAACTCTCCAATATTCACTCCACAATGCTGCCTGTTTCCCAAAGGTTTTCATATATTTTCATTGTGCTTTGGGTACAGTGTCTCTTGTTTTGTG